TCAGTTCATTTCCAGATGTCTGGGACCAGGATCCCTAAGAAGAGCTTTCCATAAGAAGCTATTCCTGAGCGATTGTCCATCTGGAAGGGTATCACTATATGCTTTGATATGCTACTGTATCTCTACTCCCCGAACTGGTAATATTTTTCAGCTCCAGTTTGGGTTTCACTGTGACCATTAACAGGTCCACAGTCAAGGAGTAGTAGTAACTTCTCCTTCACATAGAGAACTCTTAATCCCGTAGTGAAAACACTCCCTAGGGCATGGTCACACTGCAATCTCTTCTCCTGCATTCCTCTCTCCCTTCAAGATTTGGGGCATGTTTTTCTTCTTCTTTCTTTCTTCCTTTTTAAAAGAACTATTTATTTAATTTAATTTAATTTAATTATTTATTTTTTTTAATTTACTGTAGGGCACATGTGCTTACCAGAGAGAAAGTGAGAGAGTAAGCTGGCAGATCTGGGACTCTAACCCCTGTCAGTCATGTGAGATTCCAGCACCTAAACTACACCACCTGCTGGCGCCTTGAGCATGTTTTTCAGACTGTCAAGTCTGGGACTCATATCCTGCAGTGGGCTATGTGGGATTCATCTGCCTTACCACCATGCCACCAACTGGACTCAGCATCTTTATCTTACAGACAGTAGAACTGGAGTCCAGCGAAATTCACAAATAGCTCTTCAGGGACAGAACTGGAACCAGATTCCTCATCTGACCCCCACTTCCTTTGCCTTTGAACAATCTACCACTGTAAGACTGTTGCATTGACCCAAAGATGTTTCTTAGTTTTTTTTTTTTAACAATCTTTTTCTATTTGCAATTCATAACTGCTGAAACAAGTTGCCTAGTGCCTCAGAATTCTTAGAGACTTCAGTTTATGAAAAGCATTCATTGGAATTGAGTATGATAAAATAGAAGTTGTCTCAATTATGCTTAAAGACATCCTTCCATGTGCCCAATAGGGAATTAAATGTGTGTGAGTAATATTTGTTGAAAACTTACTACATGCCAGGATTTTAGAGTAACAAAAATAGCCAGAGAGTGATTGCTTAATTTTAAGTTGTATTTTTGTTTGGCTCTTGAAATTATAAAGCAAAATAATTTTTTAATTAAGGTGAGCTATTAGGTTTAAAAAAATCCCATGCCAGCCAAATAATAAAACATATATGCATGAACTGAACACACTGTAGGAGTTTAGAGTCCATAAATTTCAATATCCATTTTTTCATCATATTTTTCCTCCCAAGGAAAGTACATAGCACATAAAATTTTGTGCCACTGGAGATATGTAGAGATTAGATCAGGATTTCCACATGATGACTGCTAGTGGATCTGAGTTTTAATTGTTTAGGAAGGTTAGACATCTTATATAATGAAATGAATTGAAAAAAAGGAAGTCCAATTTAATTATATTCCCAAGCAAAAGCAACGGCTTCCCTTTTCCAGTAATGATCTCGAGTATAGAATAATATTCTAAGTAGAGAACAGATTATGACTCAGGTGTCTACCTTGTTAATTCCATTAATCAAGTGATCTAAATTCAAATTTAAAATAGCCTGCATTACATTTCTTAATATATATAAAAAAGACCCTTAAACTGGAACCTCAGCATCTAAGAGAAAAAGCATAAAACACTAACAAATGTGTTTAAGTATAAATAAATATTTAAAAAATAGGCATAAACTATTATTGCATATATTGAAATATGGAATAAAAATTTGTGGAGTACATTTTCAGAACTCATTTCTAAATTGACTTAATGTAAAATTATTATCTTAACTTAAATTTTTTGCAGTTTATTAATAAAATAATAAATCATATTATTACTTCCATTGTATTCAGACATACTAGTCACTAAATATTTAACATTGAAACTCATAAACATTACCCCTACTCATGACCCATATTTTCTTTTATTACAGAAAAAGAGAGAACTATTATAACAAACTAAGATTGTGTTAATTTGATGCAAATAAGATAAATATTTTTCTTTATAAAACCATACCAGTGACTTGGGACCAGCAGTTAGCATAATGGCTATGTCGCTGGACTCTCACATAGTCGACTGCGGTTTAAGTCCTGGACCTGGTGGCTTAAACTCATGCCAGGCGCATGTGCATACGTGCCCAAGATCCTCGAGAGAAGAATGGAGGAGAAAGGATTGTGGTGTGGCCATCCCCCCTGGGGGGGTGATTTCTCACTTTCTGTCTCTCTATCTCTCTCTGTCTGTCCAGCAAGCACACGCGCCCTATAGCAAAAACCTCTCCAAAAATAAAAAATAAAAAAATACCATACCAATGACTTGAAATCATTTTAAAATTAACAATTTCCAGGAATAATATTAATTCTTTCAAAATGAAAAATTTATAGTTTTTCAAAACTGATCATCACGAGTCAAGTAGGGTTTTCCTGATTTTTAATTCAATACTTATCATCAAAATGCTAAAATGAAAAGCAACAGTCAATCATTAACTTGTGTATGTTGTCAATTTGTTACCACGTTTATTTATCCATCTGGATACAAATGTGGAAAATTATTATATCTTTCTTTCATAAATGTGAATATATACGTACACACACACATACAAAGGCAATCTTAATAAAGATATATATACTATAGGAGTTTATACATACAGAAGCAGAGCAAAACAGACTGACAGCTCTTAGATCTGTTAGACAAAGTTTTCTAACAAACATTTAAAAACCGAAGTTATAGTGAAAGTCCCACGGCTTGCAAAAAATGTTATTTGCTATAATCGAATTATGGAGGAAACAGTCTGATGATACCTGTTCACAGTAGCCTGGCCACTTGGTATCGTGTCTTGATTATCAGATACTGAAGTTCTGCAAAGCTTTGCACTTCTTCGAAGAAATCCATTTTAATCAGGGAGACAAGAAATAGACGTGTGAAATTTTAACTAGCAAATATTAACCTAATGCCTGTCAGTGAGAACTCACGGATCCCTGTAGCAACATGCTATAAGAGTAAGAGCCATCCTGTGGATTTGGGTGGTCTCCAAGGACAATACAAGGCGTGTGGTTTTGAGCTGGACTTGGTAGATGATGGTATCTGAATCATGAAATAGCTGCTTAAAGACTGCTTAAAGAAGTCATGGCGTGGGACCAGCAGTTAGTGTAATGGCTATGTCGCTGAACTCCTATGTAGTCGACCGCAGTTTGAGTCTCGGACCCGCTGGCTTAAACTCATGCTAGCACATGTGTGTGCCCAAGATTCCTAGAGGAGAATGGAGGAGAAGGGATTGTGGCGTGTCCATCCCCCCTGGGGGGTGATTTCTTGCTTTCTGTCTCTCTCTGTCTTTCTGGTGAGCACAAGCGCCCTATAGCAAAAAAAAAAAAAAAAAAGTTTTAAAACATCACATCCTGGAGTTAGCCTGTGGCATGGTTGTTAAGACAATTGGATCCCACATGATCAAATATTTGGTCCCAGACCCAGTGGCTTGAGAAACAGGCTGGACATGCATGCCCCAAATCCCAAAACAAGGGAGAAGTGGAGAAGGGATTAGAGTTATGACCATTTGTCCAGAGAATGCTTTTTTGTTTTCCTTTTCTCTCTCTCTCTCTCTGTCTTTCTCAGAGGAGCACACATATCTTCTGGCAAAATTTTAAAACAAGGGACCAGCAGTTAGTGTAATGGCTATGTCGCTGGACTCCCATGTAGTCGACCATGGTTCAAGTCCCAGACCCGGTGGCTTAAAATTCACACTGGGCACGTATGCGTGTGTGCCCAAGATCCCGGGAGGAGAATGGAGAAGGGATTGCAGTGTGGCCATCCCCCCTGGAGGGTGATTTCTTGCTTTCTGTCTGTTTCTCTCTGTCTATCTGGCGAGCGTACACGCCCTATAGCAAAAACCTCTCCAAAAAAAAAAAAATTAAAAACAAAACCAAAAAAAACCCAAATCACATCCTGAGCCAGCCCATGGAGTGGTGGGTGATGTTAAGGAGGCTGGATCCCCCATGGCCGACTGCACAGTCCAAATCTCAGACCTAGTGGCTTGAGAAGCACGGCAGTGTGTGCATGTGCATTCACTGTCCAAAATCAGTTCTAAAAGGGGGCAGAAATGACGGAAAAGGGTTTGCAGTGTGACCTTTCCCCAGGGGGGTGCTTTCTCACTTTCTCTTTCTCCTTTTC